GCGTCTCCGCGCGGCGGCCCTTCCAAGGGGCCCGGGGAGCTCTGGCCTCCGCTCCGCTCGGTTTCTGTCGCTTCTCTTCTCAACCCGCTCCGAGCGTGGCCCCGGACTCTCCTGGCCGAGCTGGGCTGCGCCCCTGGGGCTTTTACAGCGCTCCAGGGGCGGGTGAGCAGGGCAGAGGCAAACTGCCAGTTCCGTCCCGCTGGGCATCTCGCCAGCCAGGGCCCATCTATCACAGAACTTCAGCGGGGAGCCCAGTTAGTTTGTACAGGATACACTTAAAAAACAAGAAGTCAGGTAGCACTTAAAAGACTAACCAAGCATGTAGACCAGTGTTTCTCAACCAGTGGCATGAGGCTCCTTAGGGGTACTCCAGAGAAGTCTGGGAGATACCTCAACATAACTGAAATCTGGAGAAAACTGAATGTGTTTTAAGTTTTACAGCGTTTTATTATTTTTCTACTTTTTACACTCAAAAATGTCATTGCCTGCCCTGCTACAATGACATTGTTTAAACAAATGTGTTGCAATGGTAGAAAAATGTGTGTGTATTTGAAAACTTGGTACTGGGGGTACTTATAATTTTTTAAAAGGGTACTTTATTAAAAAAAAGGTTGAGAAACACTGATGTAGATGGTATCATGAGCTTTCCTGGGCACAGCCCACTTTTTCAGATGACTGGAGTGTTGGATGTGCAGAACCAAGACGGCCTACGTCTACACAGGCATGATTTTCCGGAAATGCTTTTAACAGAAAAGTTTTCCGTTAAAAGCATTTTCGGAAAAGCGCGTCTAGATTGGCAGGACGCTTTTCCGCAAAAGCACTTTTTGCGAAAAAGTGTCCGTGGCCAATCTAGACGCGCTTTTCTGCAAAAAAAACCCCGATTGCCATTTTCACGATCGTGGCTTTTTTGCGGAAAACAGTACTGTGCTGTTTACACTGGCCCTCTTGTGCAAATGATTTGCGTAAGAGGGCTTTTGCCCGAATGGGAGCAGCACAGTATTTCCACAAGAACACTGATGATCTTCCCTGAGATCGTCAGTGTTCTTGCGGAAATTCAAGCGGCCAGTGTAGACAGCTGGCAAGTTTTTCCGCAAAAGCAAATGATTTTGCGGAAAAACTTGCCAGTCTAGACGCAGCCAGGGAGTATCAGCATGTCTCTGACCTGATTTCCCCCACATTTGTATTGTGATGTGGGAACCTTCTTGATTGCTTTGAAATTACTGTCGCAGGGCCAGCCCACAACATTTTGGCAGCTGAGGCAGGGAGCTCAAATGATGTTCCCATACCCCCTTTTCTCCTGCCTGTCTGTTGTGTCTCTTGTGCCCTCCAGCACAGCACTCCACCATCCCTGTGCACCTAGAGCAGAGAGAATACATATACACCAGCAGCAGACACAATTTTCTATACTCTGGGTCCTGGTGGCACCCCGCAGTCTGGCACCTGAGGCAGCCACCTCAGTTCGCCTCATGGTCAGGCCAGCCCTGGGGACCCAGCGGCCTGCCTTGCCTGCCCTGCCCTCCTAAAATGGTGCCCCTTCATTGCAGACCGGGGTCCCTCTTCCAGAGAAGTGGACAATAATTTTTGATGGGGGGAGGGGCACCTTCCAAGATTTGGTTAAATGGTCAAGGGCCACACTTTTCTATGGAAGGGGTGTGGTTGGGTGCAGAAGGAGCTAAGGGTAGGGGACTGGGGTACAGGACAGGGTGCAGGGTTTAAGAAGGAGTTTGAGTGAAGGAGGGGCTATGATCTGGGGCAGGCTCTTGGAGCAGGGGCAGATGACCATTTTGCGGGGCCCAGGGCAGCCCAATTTCGCGGGGCCTCCCTTTGCCATGGCGCATGCGTGGGGCTTCTTGAAGCGCAGGGCCCGGGGCAGCCACCCTGCTCGCCCTGCCCTACATCCACCCCTGTCTTGGAGTGCAGGAGAGGATTCTGGCTTGGGGAGAGGCTCTAGGAAGGGGTGCAGAGTCTGGGAGGACATTGTGACCTGGGAGGGAGGCAGAGGGTTTGAGTGGTGGCCGGGGGCAGAGAGGGGCGGGGGTGCCAGAGCCAGGCTGTGGCCAGGAGGCGCTTACCTAGGCAGCACCCCTGAAGGCCCCTGAAGGACCCTGAGGTAGAGCACTAAGACCCAGGGGAAGCATTGCCTCCCCTTGCCTCAGATACCTGCTGCTCAGGCCCCACATCCAAAGCAGGGAGCTACCAGCTGCTTAAAGCAGTGGCTTCGCCGACCAGATCTGGCCCACAGGATGCATCTTGCCTACCCTGCTTTACCCACTCACCAGTCTCTGACACTAGCCAGCACCAGAGGAAGGAGCGAGACACCCTGCAGCTCTAGGATAACCCATCCCTGGGGGAAGGTCCCTCCTGACCCCTGTTCTACCATTTCCTCCTTGGCCCTTCATCTTCTGCCCCTTTGGCCAGCTGCATTTTTTTCATGTATCCCCCAATGCCTGGACTGGCTTCTCTTCCCCAGGGCTGAAAGGAACCTCTCAATTCGCCTTCAGATCCCTCTTCACACCCACGTCACTGGGCCAGCTCCCAGCACCGCCCTGTGCTCTACGGCTGCCTCTGGGCCCAACCTAGTCTTGGGTTTAATGATCTGCCCTTCCTGCGTGGGCCTCTTCTTTTTGTGACTTGTTACCGTCCCCTGTCCCTGTCCACATTCCCTGCAGCCCTGGCCTGCCCATCTCAGCTGTGGTGAGGCTGGTCTCTGGGACACAGGCGGAGTTCAGAGCGTGAGAGGGAAGAGCAGTGAATGTCAGCACCCTGCATGGACAGGAAGTGCTGAGCCGAGCCAGCACGGACAGGAAGTGCTGAGCCGAGCCAGCCCGGCTGTGCATCAGAGGATGCTGATGGTGTGAACAACCCCCTAGATACTAAGCAATTTCTTTACCAAAGACAATTTCCTGTGAGAGCCACTGGGTCACACTCATGCTTGTGTATTTGCTGGAGTGCCTAGAACCAATTTCCAGCAAGCTCTCTGGTTAGTTGCAATTCTTGCTAGAGTCACACTGACTGCACTGATTCCAAAAACCTCTCTATTGATCTGCCGGACTGTAGAAGCAAGCACTGGCCACACAATGCACAGTGTGATGCAGCTATTCTAGCAAAGGAACGTAAGTCACTCACTGATATATAAACACTCAGAGGAAAAATCCCCAACCCACAAAACCACCTTAACTCTGCCCTCTTTGAGCCCTGCCCCAAAACGCCTCTAGCACACCTACCAACAGCCTGCCAACCCACACGCTACAGTCTATGCTGAGCACAAAGCCAGTGAGTGAGGTAGGAGTGAGAATTTTGGGGTCATGGATCATCAGCTGAAGATGACCTCCCAGTACGACACTGTGGCCAAATGAGCTAATGCATCTTGGAATGTATAAACAGGGGACTCTTGAATGGAAGCCAGGATATGGCTTTCGTGAGATCACTGCTGGGTTCCTGAGTCCAGTTTTGGTGTTCATAATCCAGCACAGATACTCATAAATTGGGGAGGGGTCAGAGAAGAGCCATGAAGAGGATTAAAAAACTGGAAAACATGGGTGAGCGCATGTGACAAGAACCAGCTGGAACTGAACCAGGAAGCTGCAGAGCTAGAAGTGTGAGCCTCCTGCAGTGTGCACAAGAAAGCCAGGGGTCGTGTGTGAGGCTGTCTTTGAATAATAGCAGGTCAGGGCCCCTTGGCTAGCCCTGCTGAAGTGGGTTTCAAACTGATGCAAGATCACCCTGCATCTACACCATTGGTCTCCCCAGTTGTTTCCATGGCAACATCCTCTGGGTACTGACCCACACCCTCTGCAGATCAGGCAGAGCTG